CTGCTTTGCTGGATTAAAAATACAGAAATCTTACAGATCAAGTCCCAGTGAAAGTGCTGAGCGCATGCTGATGAACTTTTCAGCTATGGCTTTCTTATTTCAGCGGAAACATTCAGTGCTGGGAGTAGGAAGCTTTTTCACTTCAAAGTATTAAGAGAGTTGTTTTCAAAGGTCCGGTTCTGAGCCCAGTTACCAGAGAACCAAAAGGAATCACAAAATTGTTTAGAAATCTCTCTCCAGTCTCCATTGCTATAGAAACATAAAGTATTGATGTCTCATTGCCAAGAACTCTTAAAGAAATAAAGATCTGGGCTTGTTTGCTTTTGAAATGTCATGATCCAACCACATGAGGACACATCCATCCTGTCTTCTTGTATTTTGGGATGGCTGAGTTAACTGTATCCTCCCATACTCAAAGTATTCATATTTGTCGTGTTTTGTGCTGGGAGAAGCCTGAGATTTTAGGTCAGAAAGTAAGCAATGAGGTTTGTGAGGATCTAGTCACTTCTACTACTGCCCTCTAGCACTTTTAGAGAACTAAGTGCAATTCCAGGAGAAATAGCTATGTGGCAAATTAATATTTTATAAGCTCAAATAGGCAGACCAAATTTAAGGCCTGCCTGCTGATCAGATGGTGAAGATTGGAGGAATATGGAATTAAGCCAACGCATCCACTGCGCTGGAGGAAAAACAGCGTTAGGTCCTCTGCTGCCTTTGTGCAGGTTCACATGGTGATGGCTTCTGGTTCATGAGATGATATTTCATGCTTGGAAAATCGGTGTAAGGATAGGGTCTGGTGGAATGGTGAAGCAGAATGCTGTCCTGTGAGGTCTGGTCAGCAGACAACAGATGGTGGCAGCATCGAGGCGGAAAATTGTGCATCTGTCTCAGAAGTTGTACAGCTTGGTCCTCCCTTACCCCCTGAAAATCCTGCTTGGGGCTCTGAGATCCCCAGCAGCGGTTCCTGAGTTGGTTTTATTTTTATTTTTATTTTTATTTTTATTTTTTATCTTTATTTTTTCAGCTTAAGTTCATGCAGAAATGGGGTTTCTGGACAAGACAGTTTTCCTCCCCTCTCTCCCTTCCTCTGCCCTGTCTTCCCTCGTCTGGGCTTTTACAGCTTGTTGTTGCTGTTTTAATTCAGCTGAAACTGGCCAAGGTTCAAGGAGATGCTGAATTTTAGTGTATTGCATTTTCAAGTGTGCTATTGGGTAAAATGTTATCTTGGTTATAGTCCCCATGGAGGGAGGAAGGAAGGTATGGGGGCAGAGCTGTTACCCCCTGTCCAAGCCCTAGGGACCTTTGGTTTGTACCCACATCTTTCCAGACACCAGGAAATGCAACCAGGGGCACAAATCCATGTTACACGGTGCTGCCAGCTCTGCTGCATGTGGGACTGCTTCCCTTTAGAAAAAAATGGTCTAAAAAAAATAAAACATGAAGAGGAGTCTGGGAATGCAGCTGCTGGGCCCTGGGTCAAACACAGTACGATCCTCTGAAGCCTCTGGGGTGCTGTTTCCAGGCTCTAGATTATTATCAGTGCCTTGCCCATGGGCTGGGAGTTCAACGCTGCACCTACCCTTTTATTCGTAGGCTGTCAAGAGGTGTAGGGCTTTTTTTTTTTTTTAATTATTATTATTATTATTTTATTTTTGTTACTAAAAAAATACCAAGAGCTATGTAAAAATAGAACAAAAAAAGATCGTGTTTTTCCAGACTTCATATTTCCTATTCTATATATGGATCACTGAATTTGAATGCCTCCCTTAGTTTTCAGGAAGAAAAAAAAAAAAGGCAGATTTTTGCAGACTCCAAACCTGTCAGCACTTTATAACTTTAGTTTCAACTTTTTTCCTTGGGATAATTTGAAAACACCTTGAACAGGTCAGAGCAGAATCTTCCACTGGGATTTTAAATGATAAGATTTCACATTGATCTATCTCTTTGTGTTTATTTTTTTATTTTTTTATTTTTATTTTTTTTAATTTTTATCTTCGTTCATGATAGGGAAGGCAAGGAAACTCCTATGCAAGCATTTGCTTTCAGTTTGGTGACCTAACCCCTCAATGATGTTTTGTAGAGAGAAAAAGTGTTGCAAAACTTCTGAATTTAGCAACACTGAGGAAGTGGGCTTTGCAGAGATGGCAAATAGCTGTCTTTTCCCATGTGCATCTTCACCAGCAGTGACCCCGCACTGCATAAGGTTAATCAGAGTCCAGATTGCACGTGCTCTTATGTGCTCACCGATGACTGGATGACCACCAGTCTCCTCGCAAAACCGCAGGTGCTGTTAAACTCATCAGCTTCCTATTTATAGCCTGTCTTCTGTATCCTTCCTGGGAAATACATGAGATATGGATCTCGTTAGACGTGCCAGCTTGTCAGTCGCTGGGACGCTGGTGGTGGTGCACAAAGGTGTTTTGGAGAACATCTCAGACCTGAATTGTATGCGTTTGCTCAGCTTTTGTAGCCAAAACCCCAAGGGTCAAAGCACTGAAAAGGGGATGGAGATGTGGTTCCTGCCTGCCTCATCTTCTCCTTTATCCCCTGGGGCTTATCCCACTGGCTGCCCACGTTTGGGCTGATGGACAAGTGGACGAAGAGCCACAGGAGACTTGAGGTCTGGAAATGCTCCAAACCTGACAGCAGGGAGCAGGGCAGTAAATCTCCTTCCTTCTCTTTGGCTTTATCAGTAGAGATCTTGGCCACATACCTGGGATTTCTTAAAAGAGCTTTCTAACACGAGCGTGCTTTGTGAGAAGGTCTGGCAGAGTGCTCACGCTCACGTAGACGCCGTGATGTTGTTCACAGGCACTGCTGATGGAAATCTGATGGATTGTCCAGTGGGAAACTTCTGAGCATGCGCACAGAATATCCATGAATAAGTGGGAGGAAGGGATCTGGGGGAAGGTGGAGGGTCTCCTTTCCTGTCCAACCACCCCCAGAGCCCCTGTGCCTCCAAGCAATCACTCCCGGGCTTTCTCTGCTCTCCTTGCAATGAGGTTTCTTGTTCTCCCTGCTCTGTGTCCAGAGACTTCCAGGGAGAACACACCAGGCTCCCAGCTCCCCATCACTGTCCAACCCAACCCTAAACAAAGAAGAGGCAGCCCTGGGGCAGGGGAGGAATAGATCTTCTTAAATACTTTTTGCTGCCACTTAATCCCCAGAGCACAGGAAGATGTTTTCATCCTTGCAGCCTCCCTTTAGGTATGTGAGGATCATCCTGTGTCCCTGCAGGCTGCATCTAGGGAACCTCTCTTGTAGGAGAAACGAGGAGGCTGTATTCATTTTCACCCAGCTCTGCCATAACTTGCCTGCCCTGCGTACAGCAGAAACGTGACAAACTTCCCCACGGAGCCAAAAGCAAACAGAGGAGCAGCCCCAGCGCCTGCCAACGGGGAGCAGCAATCGTGTTGCCCGCCTCTGGCTGCCGTTTTCCTTTAAATGCCCTAAAAAGCCATCCCAGTGTTGAGTTGCTTGCTGAAATGTTAATGTGGAGGCTTGCCAAGGGCTGGCAGCCCTCCAGGGGTTTCCATGTCTACCAAGAATGTTTTGCGGTGCACCTTGGGAGAGGAACATTACTTCCTTGATTTTTTTTTTTTTTTCCTTTCCTCTTAAAATGAGTAAATAAAGCAGCTAAAAAGTTAGAGCAGGCAGTTTTCATCACCCAGCTCGGCTTTCCACCCACATGGCTGCGTGTCCTGGCTGATGTCTCGACCCATGGTAAGCCGGGGGGGCTTTTTGCTCAGGTGACTCTTGGAGGTGGGAGATGATGCCGAGGTGGTCTCGTGGGATGCTGTGGTCCTGTTGTTAAATATTTGGCTCTGTGCTGTGATGAAGGTCAGGTGATTACAGCTTTGGAAGCAGGTTGATGTTAAGTGTTTCTCTTCAGAGTTTGGTGTTAGGGTATTTCATAGGGTTGGGATAAGATGCATCCACGTTTAAGGCAGGACAGTTTAAGGAGGCTGAATTCAGAAAATCCTGCCGTTTCTGCCTCTGTAAAACAGGAACATTACCAACTTTGTTGCTGCACAGAGACAAATATTCACAAAGTCATCCGGGTGTGTACGGCAGGATCAGGGCTTACTGGTGCGATTCACCACCATGCTGTTAGACAAGGTGCCTTTATTTCCTCAGCACCATGTATCTGCCTGTTGGACTTCTGTGGGTGATGTGCCATGAAGTTGTAGATGGTTTCCAGCCCAGTGAGACAGGACTGTGCTATCCACATTGAGGCCCTGAAGGGAGAAGACAAATGTGGCCATCTTAGTGGTATGGGAAGGTTGCTCCAAGGCAAGGAGAAGGCCACAGAAGAAAGGTCACCTGCTCCTGGTCTGCTCTACCTCTTGGGGTGGTTTTGTAGTGAGTCATTACTTTTACTGCAAAGGTGGGATTGCTGATGGGTCTGGTCTGTGCTGCTGTCCCACTGAGGGTTTGGGGAACCAGGAGGGATAGGAGTGGGGGAATGACTGGGCCAAGTCTTGCTTTGCTCTTCTGATTTGCTCTTGTGCTGGCTACCCCTCGTCATCTGCTCCCATGCTGCCTGTGTCTTCGGGCAGGGTAAGCCCTTCCCAACCCTCCCAAATGAGAGGGTGGCTTTGTCAGGTGGTACAGATAAAACCCAGCAGGGTGATAAGCGTGGGTCTTGGCCACGAGTCAAAAACATCTCGTGCATTGGGAAAGAAAATGTAATTGATTTCTGCTCTACGCCCTCCTTCAGTGAGGCTCTCCGTGTACTTGTGTACCCTTGCTCCTCTTTCGTGTCCCCACGTGCCAGCCGCCTCTGGATATTGGGTTCCTCTGATCCACCGACGGCCTGCATGTGACAGAGCTTGCGCAGGAGTGGGAGGAAGGTCCCAGCATTGCAACTGGGCTTGTGACACTGAGCTGAGAACATTTGGAGGAGCCCTGGTAAAAGTCACCATCCTCCTCTATGGCCAAGCAATGGAGACCCCAAAAGGGCTGCAGCCCCAAAGGACTCATAAAATGTGCTTGCTTACCTCACTGGCATCACTTCGCTGCTCCAATTCAGACAAATTCCACCTTATTTTAAAAGCCTGAAGGGTTATAGTCATTCTGCTACCATGAAAGAACAATGCAATGCTTTTTTAGTGCTGTACAGTTTTCTGTAAGCTCACCATCCAGCCACTGAAAGGCTCCCAGTTTCAGCTACCTTTGCCCAAAAGTAGCAGTTCTGAGCTGAAAGATGACAGCTTGGTGGTGATGCCATAGGAATGTAGGCCTCTTTTGGCCAGTTTTCCTGTTTTCTGGCTTCCTGCATGTATATCAGCTCCTATGTAACAGGCTGACTGCCAGAGGCCAGTGTTTGTTTTCCTCTTTAGCAAGGCCTTTGGCTGGACAAGCTACTACAGAGCAACAAATAGTTTTGAATCGCAAGTCACATTTTATTCCTGTAAGTAAGTGGGCATCATGGGTTTGTTTAAATAAGTCTTCATTGTTTCTGTGTTTGTTGTTATAGAAAAGTAATCATCAAATAGAGTTCTCATGCCTCTCAGCCTGGCCAGCTGGCACTGTAGAAGGTAGCTGCTCTATGGACAGGAATTTCTGATCTCTTTTGTTCTGTGGAGTGAGAATTAGAATTGCTTTAATGACCAGTAAGCACATTAGTCACATAACTTCATGTGGTATGGTGTCTCAAGTGCACTTGAGCTTATCTTGGATATGATGAGGAGCTTGGTGCAACTGCTGAGGTGCCCCTGGTCTTCCCAAAGTGTCTGCAAACCATCTGGGCATCCCAAGGTCCTGAGAGCAATGCAGCACCCTGACTTTTTGGCCAGATACGGGCATCCTGATGGGCCCCCATGAGGCAGGTACCACAGGTCTCATGGAGGGAGGTGCACCTTGACGATGGTAACCATCAGCCACCAAGGCCATCTGGTTGTCCTGCCTTCAGCAGGCTCATCTTCTACCCCATGTGGGATGGAGGGAAATGGGATCAGTTGGTGTGGCTTGGGACCAGCTGCTGAACAGTTCCAGCACCACCTTGCTGCAGGTGGAGTTTGTTCAATGGGGTAAGGAACTGGTACAGCTTGACTAACAGGCACAAGGAGGCTAATGCATGTTATTCTTGGACACTTTTTGGTCCTTCAATCAAGATCAATGTTTATTCCATTATGCTGATTATGCTCCTTTTATTTTTATTTTTTTTTCCCCCTTCCAGCTCTTTCTTACCCTCAAAAGAACCAAGTTGGTTAAGGCAGTTCAACTTAAACTGAAATGTGTAGATCAGGTATACTTCCAGGGATCAATTCTCTTGACTCTCCAAGCTGAGAGCCTGTGTGGGACCAACACCGTCACATTTAGTCTGAACCTGAGCCCCATCTAGCAAACAGTGAGACTGGAGGTTGTAGAAAGAGTTAGCCCCATAACTCTTCATGGGGCTTTTCTACCCGAGGAAAGATCTCAGTGTGGAATATATGATTATTATTATTTTTTTTAATGTTTGTGTCTTTTCTTCTTGTGCTGGTCGTGCTCCTGGCCAGTCTTGTCTTCGAGTACATCCCTGGTCTTCTCTGATGGTCGGCTCCATCTCGAGTAAATATGAGTACAGATGCCCACATGTGACTGCGTGTTACCTGAATTTCCATGTGCAAGCAAAGCACTCCTTGTGCAAGCTAGAAAACTTCTAGAAGTGTTTGATTGTTGTACTGGGTTGCTAGTGAATCGTTGCTCAGATGTAGAAAACATGTCTGTACTCATTGTCGATCCCAGTTCTGTACCTTGTTTTCTAACCACTCCTGCCTTGCATACCTCTCTCACCCTTTAGGGGAAAAAAAAACTTGTGTTGACTCAGTGAAAAGAACCAGGACAAGTTTGATAATCAAGAAGGTTGTGAAAGTCCTTTTGCATGAGATATAAATAATTACACACATCTAGCTACTGTTTCCACGTGTAGTTTCTCAACAGCGTGCACAAATACCATGTTTCTGGGCTTGCAAGGCACAGGAGTGAGAGTACATGCATGTGTCTGAAATCCACCTCTATATCAGTCTCCTGGGTGAGTGAATTAGCAAAATGCAGCTCGTTGCTCCTTGTTGGGGTGGGTGTTGTGTCAGATCTGACTAAGGTAGAGCAGACCAATGCAGTCCCAGCAGCTACGACTGCCCTCGTCCCTGCCAAAGCCTCAGACGGTCCCAGGGCATGCCTGCAGCAAGGCGACAGACACATCGAGTTGGTGCTGGCTGGGAATACAGGCCTGGTGCCATCTGAGGCTTGTATTACATCTTTAATCTCTCAACTCCTCTTGCTTTGATGTTGATGTTCATCTGCAACTCTTAGGATGCATTGGGAAGTGGTCAAAACTGCTGATTTTTTTCTAAAATAGCTTTTTGGAAGGAGAGGTAAACTGCTTGATACTGAGACTTTTACTAGGGGAATCTATCTTTCATTTGTGGGGGAAAAATGTTTTTTCACATCTTAAAACAACCTTTGCTCAGGGGTAAGCAGGAGCTGAGTGCCACTGTGAGAACTGGAGGCTGCAGACTCCTTGCTGCTGCTCTGGGGCATGCTTCAGTAACCCTGTATCGGAGCTGGCAGAGTCAAGGATATTCTTGTTAACAGGGTGAGTCATAAGGCAGCTATTTCCAGCATGGTTGGTTCTTGTAACATGGGCTGGTATTGCCGTGGTGATAGAAAGATGTGCTGGCCAGCAGCGCTGACTCAGCATCTCAGCCCCAGAACTCAGGAATGTGCCCAGTTTCCGTAGAAGAACAGGGGCTATAAATAGGCTTTGCTTAAAACCAAACCAAAACGACAGTGACAACAAAACCCCTCCTCGATGGAAAATGCCACTCGTTTCAGGGAGGCAGTATTTGAAGGACATTAGAGGTTTTTCTCACCAGTTGTAAGCTGGGGGGAGATTTGTTGAAAGAGCCCATTTCCACGGTTAAAAACCCAAACACAAGGCGCAAGGTGAACTTCTCTTAGTTTTATTGATCAAAGCCAGTTCTGTATTTCTGAAGGGGCAAGTGCTTTTAATTGCCACAGATAGCTGAATGCCAGCTTAGATAATCTTAGAGGTCTTTTCCAACCTAAATGATTCTGTAACCCTATGATCTATTTAAGGGTAGACCTGGATCTCTCGGAGATGGCACGCTTGGTGCTACTGCACTGCAACTCTCTCCCCTGATCCCTTGAGTGATGTTTGGTCTCATTCCTAGAGATGGTTTTAAGCCTGGCTTTAATCAGCACTCCCCAGAGTGATGCCTGTGAGTGCAGGAAACAAAGACTTAGAACTGTGGTCAAGCAGAGGAGCAAAATATAAAGCCTGAAGCAGCTGTCGCTGCTGGCTGGAGACAAAGGAATGCTGGTGGCATCCCCAACGCTCCCGCTGGAAATGATAGCACGCGCTTTGTACTTTCAGATCTGCGGCTGCTGATAGCCAGAGACAATTTCATTAATAACAATCTGGTCAGATAATGGAACTAGACCTGACGGGGAAGATTTTTAAAGGCTTCTGTGGAAAGCCACTGGTTTTATTTAATAAAAATTGTTGGTAGAAGAGGCTGCACAGAACTCCAGATGTGGACTCCTTTTGTCAAAATGAGAAAGCTCCGGCTTTCTGCATGTCCCTGATTTTTATTTTTCCCCAAGGAAAGTCTCTTAAGTCTACCTTTTATTTTTTAAAAATATAAAAACAGATCCGTAGACTGCACAGATGACAACTTGCCTTGTCCACACCCAGGAAGGATGTCTCAGAGCTGAAGTGAAGATAACCAAATGTCAGAGCTTGGGGCCTCTGCTGCAGTCCTATGGGGTTACGGCTGAGAACCAGCCTGCATGTCTCAGACTGAATGTGACATTTTTGCCAGCTCTGTGCATTTCAGGGAAACTAGTTGAATGGCTAGAAACAGGATCCTGATAGGAAATGTGAGCAAAAGAAAGAGAATGTCCAAAAGCAAATTGTCATACCCTTCTGTCAGCAGTTTCTAGCGTTACCAAGCTAGAGTCAAAAGCACCGAGAAAAACATGAATTCAAGACACACCTGACCAAGTTGTGAAGCTCAGCTTGACAGGTCTAAATGCACTCAATGGGTTGAACCTCTGAAGGTCTTAGCCATGCAGTGAGCTCTCCATTGTCCTGGCATGGAGCACAGCTCCTGGGCTTTTCACACAGTGCTGCTGGGGTTCTGGGGGTCTCTAGGCTGCGTGCTTGGTGAGAAAGTGCTCAGCAATGCCATCTCTGAAACCCTCTTTGGAGGGCAGGCATGATCGTAAGCACCATCAGGGAGAAATTTTCATTCATACAGGATCTGGAGGCTGGAAAATCCTCCTGAGCTCAAGCACCTGTGGAAAGACCTTGGAAAGACTTGAGGCTCATGTGGTCTTGAATGGCGAGGTGCCCACCTGGTGGGTGAGCACTTCAGACGTGGGAAATCTGATTTCATTCCCAACCTTGGACTGGCAGGGAAAGGTCTGTCATAGTGCTGGAGCCTTGGTCACCAGCTCTCTGCTGTCTCAGCTCGTAGAGCAGGTAGGAGCCTGGCGCTGAGCTCATTGCTCGCTCATCCTTTCCATTCCCTTAGCCGCATCCTTCCCTGGTATGCATCATTCCCTCCTTCATATGGGGCTTATTGCTCTGCCTGCCCCTGTTGTGCAGTCTAATTTAGACGGTGAGTTATGGGCACATCCCATCCAAAAAAGACCCGGGAGTCTGGGAAAGCAGGAAGGAAACCAACACAATAGAAGAATCTCTCCGAACAAAAGGTGATCGAGGCACTTCTTGTCCCCTGCTCCACCCTGCGCATTCTCACTCTACGAAGCCGACTTGTCCTCATCCCTCTGCCCGCAGTGAGTGCCACAAGCCTGGAGAAGTCCTTGAGGTCATGTAGCCAGGGAGGAGGCGAGCCGCTGAGTCGGAAGATGTCCGAGGGCCTGGGGAAGAATGGGGCTTTGTTCGTGCTCTGAAGCAAAAGGGGAGGGCGCAGGGCTGCGGACTTAATTTTTCCTGGTGCACAGAGTGAGTGTGTGGCGGGGGCTGCAGCTTTGGCAAAACATCTTTGACAAAACATTTGTGGGGATTTGCTAATTGTGGATCGATTGGAAAAAAAAAAAC